CATCAGCAATGTAGACAGGTGGCAGCACCACATCAGCAATGCCTGGCGCACAGAACAGAAAGCGCCAGCATGCTGCCACAACTCCGCGTCGTCGTCCACAGTGCCTGCGCACAGCCAGCGTCTCGACAGCGTCTCGCCAGCGTCGTGCCAGCGTCAATGCCAGCGTCCAGTCGCAGTCGAGCCAGCGTCCAAGCAGCATAGCAAGACTGAATGTCGACCTCCTGGAGACCAGTCCTTTTGTAGCATTTGACGAGGCTGTCTGGTCTCGGGTCCCTCTCCCACAGTCGTACAGATTGACTCTCAGCCGAGGGCCTGGATTGTGTACAGTTGCAGACTTCCCCTTGGACCTGATGCTGTCTGGATACCTGCATACAAACAAGTGTGTGCGTCTGACCGGCGGCCTGGGCTGGGTAAACTTTGACTTTGACTGTTGGGGTCTCTGACAGTTGACTTTCGTGAACTGTATCTCATCCAGGCCCCGAATCTTTACGTGGGGTTTATTTTCCCCTTCGGCCTGGGTCTGAGTGCGGCCCGGAGGCCCTCAGACTTTCCACCAGGCATACAGCATGGGTTATTGCACTTCCATGCACGAGGGTCAAACCACTATTTCAATACCCAGCCCATTGCAAGGAAAATGAGTGATAGTGCATTCCAGAAACCAAGCAGCATCATACACATGAAACCAGATAGTCTTGACCTCGAACCAAAAGCAGAATTCCAACTTGAGTTCAACCAAATAAGACCACAGCAAAAGCTCACAAGTAACAATGTTGGAATAGTCTCATCATCATCAACAATGAACCAATGTTGAATTCCCTATCTGGCGCTCGGCGCCTAGACTACAAATGGCAGATCCTATTTAGCCTATCTACAATGTCGCTGGTGAGATCAACAGCCTTCCGAAGTACAAGCAGATCTCAGCCAATGCCGTTCGCTTCAAGCACCAGGGATGTCTCACGCTTCACTCACAACCTCGATCCCCCACACAGATACCACGTGCACCCAAGGACCACCATGCGCCCCATCCAGAATCTCGCAGGGCAGCTTGGCTATGGCTGCCTGCGTGTACTTTGCTCGCCCGTGAGCGCGTGGGCACTTGCCTGCAAATAGCGCAGCAGCACTGCCGCAGCATGTAGCAAGTGCCCAAATGTCGAGCCCGCAGCCAGGCCCTTTCCTATATGGAATGAGGCTGCCAGTCGTGGCTGCCTGGCTGGCCTGAGACGCCCCACGGAAGCTTCCAGTATGCCCCAAGTGGCTGGGCCCCTGTCCCAGGGAATCTTCCACAGGGCCTGGGGTGGTTACCCGTGTCCAACTGCCAGCAGCCTGTGTTCAGTCCATGTCCCGCGTCTGGCCCAGGGCCTGCCTCAGGTACATTTGGAAAAAGGCATGCAGGGCCTGGGCTCACTCAACCAACTGGCGCTGCGCAACTGCCTGCATTTCCCAGCTGCGTCAAATCCCAAAACAGGCCTCTCGTCACTGTACAGGCCCGCCTTCACTTAGGGCGGTCGATCTTGCCAAAAGCAGGGCCCAGTAGGGATTACCGAGGCCTAGAGCCTCGCACCATGTTATACACACATGAAACTGTTAGTAAACACGTCGCGAATTAGAATCCTGATGGAATCAGACGGATATAACAATGTTAGGGGCTACGCAATTTTTAGAACGGATGCAACAATTTCACTGCGCTTGTGTGCCACAGTACGTATGTTATGAGTCATAAGTCACGACAGAAAACAGATAAACGGCTGGAATTCTAGAGATCCATAAAGTATAACCTTATGAGCACTAACTCGAGAACGACTACCGTCGTAGTGCCAATGTTTGACAGTTGCTTCGTGCTGGGGTCTGCTCATTACAGGATGAGATTCCTTACATGGCCTGGCAGAGGTACCACACCCTGAAGAGGTAAATGTGCCGGGTACTGGAGGCCGAGCAGAAGAAGACAAAAGTGGCATTTGGAGAGGCCCAGTAGTTGTAGGCTAGATCTAGGCGGGTACCAGTCCAACCACTCTGAGCCTAGGGCCTGTACGTGCAATATCACAGTCTGCAATTATGCTTCGGGAGGAGGTACCGGTTGCTTGGAAGGTCAAGCGGCCTGGAAGTCACCGCCCAACAGGCAAGCAGGCCGCTATATCTACAGGCCGGGCGAAGAGCCCAGCCTCATTGTCGGTGTGCAAGTTTGGCGACACACTGGTTGGAGCGCTAGCTGGAGCAGCGCTAAGCAAGAGCAGCGCTGCTGGGGAAGGAGCAAGGACACGGAGGAGGAAGAAGAGCAGGAGCAAGGGGGAGCGCCAGAGGTACTTACCTGGCTATGGTGGCAGCCATCTTCATCCCCTTGGTGGGCGCTGCAGCAGAAAGACCCCAGCTGGGGTAGAGCTACACCCAGACGCTTCGAGGCAGAGTCGAGCATGACGGCCTGAGCTGGAGCAGCCATAGCTGTTTTGGGTTGTCCTTTGGGCATCAGGGCAAGGCCCAGTAGTCCGCCATAGCCTCGGCCTATGAAAGTGAAGAGTGAGGGAGGCGGCCATGGCTATGGTGGACGTCAAGTGATACCTGCAGTAGAAGAGGGATTCGGACATTGATTCTGGTTCAGCCATTCAACATTGTACTATTATTTCTTGTGTGAATAAGAGAGGAGGAGTAAAGGAGGAGAGTGTTTGGCAAAGAAGAAGAGCTTATCATTTGTCTATGATGGTGTACATCATCTTCTTCATCTTTCTTTCTTCTTCTTCTACTTCTTACCCTCTCTCTCCTCTCAAGTATTCATTTCTTTCTGCAATTGGACGGCATTATACGATCTGATGAATGTGTATCTCGAAATTGCCAGGATCATAACATTGGTATCAGAGGTGAGAGTTGACTTATCCACCCTAACCCTAACCTAAGTGGTAAGGGCTAACCACTTAGGGTTGGTCCGAAGAGGGAAGTGGGGCAGCGTGGCTTAGGGAAGCTGCCCCCACCTGGTTAGGTCATGCTGGGTCGGCATTGAACCTGACCAGGTTGGGAGACACTTGGTGACTTGAGGGCCTCCCTCAAGTGGCGATCTTGAGGGAGGTAGCCATTCTGCATCTATGGACTGCAAGTTACTACTTTGTTCTTCAGCATCGGCGGGGGATCCGGCATTGCACATTAGTGTTGGAAGTGAGACCCTCCTACATGATAGGACACTAGTGTAGAGGTAGCAAATAGGGTTAGGAAGACCACATGAGGATGGTAGGTGAATTATACTTCACCTCAGAGTCCGGGCCACTCAGGTAAGTGTCGTGCACCTAAGGGTTGCCCATGTACGTGTTCATGGTATTGTTTGTCCTGCTGGGGTACTTCTAGGTCTCTTTCCTACTCCTTTGAAGTCTTGGTTGAGAGCATTGGTGTGCGAACTACTTACTAACCTGATGGATGTGGAAATGAAGTATCTTGCTTTGAAGGCCATATCTTTCTACAGTGCTTTATCTTTTCATTTGTGAATGGATGTAGTCTGTAGGTTCTCTCTTGAAGTTGAAATTCGTTTTTCAGTACGGTAGAGGCAGAAAGTAGGACCTTGAAGTGCTCTCCTTGGTTGGGACTTGGTCACGACCTATTTGGGACCCAGTGGGACCCAGTGGGACCGGGCCCAAACAAGAAGGGCCCCTTGGACCCAAATCTGTTGGCCCAGTGTCGCTCTCGGTTCTGTCTGGGATACAGTATTCTTCTTTTTTATTCGACCCCTCGCTGCCGAGGGGATCTAGGCTGAGATGCTTTGTCAAAGTGATGACACACAATCCAATGCTCGACCTGCACCTTATACACCACTCAATTCTCCATTGTTGTATGACATTACTTGTAGTCTGGTTTGCAGTACTTTGACGGTGCCAGTTGGATTAGGCTCAAGGGCATCTTGTACTTGGTCTGACCGGACTTGCACGCGGAATCAGAACTCTTCTGAACGAATTGTATTCTTTGATTGTTTTTGTTGGTTGCTCTTTAGTCCAAATATTTGCCGCTCCGGCTAGGAGTTCTATCTTCTGCTCTGAACTTTCAGTTTGTTTCTTTTGCTGAAATTCACTACATACCCGTGGAGACGTGCGGACAAGAGAGAAGGGCGAGAGAGAAGGGCGAGAGAAGCCATCGCAACCGAAGGAGCTAATAGTTCCAACATGGCACCAGCCAAACTCTCTGATATGTTAAAGGCTCGCATGGATGCAGCGATTGAGGCTGATAAACCGTTGTGCGAGGCCCTCTATCAGAAAGAGTTGGCTAAGGAGGAAAAGGCAGAAGAGGCTAAGCGAAAAACAGTCATTGAGGAACTTGAGGCTATTCTCAAAACAATACCAAATGTATCTGATGCAGACTTTAAAAGAGATCGGGTTGTGTATGTACGTGTGCTAGTGAACAACCATTTGCTCGACGAGCTCCCAAGTGTGAAATCTCAACTTCTCGACGAGATGAGCCAGATGCGTACTCAAATGGTTGACATGGCCAGAGAGCATCGCGATCAGCTGCAGCAAATGACAAGCATGCATCAAGCTCAAACCTCAGGTTTTTTTCCCCGTTCTACCTTTGCACCCCTCCATTCCTCTCCTTCTTCTCAGCCTTCTTCATCGAGTTTGGTGATCCGGTCACGACCTGCGACAGGTGCAGTTCCTATTGCCGTTACAAGCGGCAGCACAGGAAGTTCTGCAACTGTCGAAGCCCTGGGATCGGATCTAGCAGCAATAGCTGGACCCAACTACGGCAGTCCATACATGGACAGGAAGGCGATGATGATACCGTCTAGATTTGACGGCAAGGAGGACGTTGAGTCTAGGATAAACTCCATGAGAGTGTACTTTGAAGAACAGGGCACTCAACGAGTGAACCAGTCCTTGATCCTAGCGACAAACGTCGAGCCTGTCGTAAGGGGCTTCCTTGAAGTCCAAGCCATGCAAGATGGGTACACAAAGATCAACCTATCTGAGTGGCTTGAAGTCACGGCGGTCACTACTCTCAAGGACATACTCGTAGAGCAATACAAGGACCCGCATGCTGCTGCAAGAGTAAGGATGCAACTTGATGAACTCCAGCGTGGCAAGTGACAGGGCACCATGCATAAATTGCAATTGCATGTCAACAAGCTCTTTGCAACGCCGAAATTGGAGCTAACTGCGCAATCATGCTTGGATGTAGTCATAGGTCCGGTTCCCACTCATCTAACCAATCGCCTAAGCAAGGATTTCTTCGGTTACACTGATTGATTCTCCTTAATGAAGAATGAGGTCAGTCTGGAGGCAGAAGACCTCCTTACCGCAGCAAGCACCAAAAAGACTTTTGTTCACAGGCGATTTTGTGGCATCAATCGCTTAGCTTCACTTGACTTGCTGGAAGGGGAAGGGGGGGCCGAAGCAGATGACCCCACTCTGGCGACGGCCAAGAACAGGACGCTGCTATAGCCTGCTCTTCAACTCAAGAATCCGACATGAATCATGAGGATGCCCATGGAAAGGGAAACCAAAACCAAAATTCAGTAAGGAGCTTCGTTGCACTTCCAAAGGGAGCCAAAATCCTAGCCAAATCGGAGGATGCAAGCACTAAACCTTGGGTGGACCTCCGGATCAATGAGGCTGAATGGAAGGCTAGAATGAAGAAGAGAGGTTGCTTGCATTGCCTGAAAACGAACCATAAGGTACAAGATTGTTATAGGCTGCAAGGAAACCAGAATCAGGCGTAGAGTTGGCATCAGCACCCTCTACGGCAAGGGGGATTGAATCTGATGCAGTTCAGCAGTCTTCTCTTGAAGCCCCGTCATCTGGTGATTCCAAGGTCGAAGTTTGTCATGCTTTGTATGTTGAGCCTTGCGAGGAGTCTGAGATGGTTGACTTCCACTATCACTTAGAGCATTGGCCTGAGATGAAACATCAGCGTGCTCAAGGGACTGTGAAGTTAATCTTCTTCAAGCTTCTCATAAACCACCACTATCCTCGTGTCTTGATTGATTGTGGTGTGACAACTAACTTCATGTCACCACACGGTATACGCAAAGTGGGCATGGGGATGAAGCAAGTAGCTTTGCAGAACCCTTGCCGACCTCAAGTAGGCAACAAGGAAGTTGTCTCATCTACGCATGTAGTCAAAGGTGTGCGCACTACCTGTCACAAGACAAAACAGTCACCCACGCACTAAACTTCTATGTCCTTGACAAGTGTCCCTTCGATGCAGTCCTTGGCTTGGGTTGGCTACAGTCCCAATGCAAATGGATCAAGTGGAAGGAGCCACTTTTCATGGTCAAAGATGCTCGAGGGAACGAGCTTCCCGTCCTCTTGGACGAGAAGCACGAGTCCACTTTTCTCAATGCCATGCAGTTCTGCAAAAAGTGGCGCAAGCACAAAGAGGACGAACAAATGTATGTTGCCTATGTTCGCCCTACGCATGTACCATCTACTTTTGCGGCTAGTACCAACCCTACAAAGAGTCTACTTCTAATACTTTTACTTCTCTACTTCTAGTAGTCCAAATGATTCTACTTCATATTCAGTCGCTTCCATTCGTAATTTGCGACCTGATCTAGGTGACCCGTTTGCTGATCCTCCGCCTCCACCGGTCCTTACAAGCATTGAAAACCTACTTGACCGATTCCCGAAAGTTCTGGTCGAACCATGTGGACTCCCCACGCGATCAATCCGACACACAATCGAGTTGGTCGAAGGTGTTGTTCCTCCAAAGGGTTGTGTGTACCGAATGGGACCACGCGAGTTGGAGGAACTCCGAAAACAAATTGACGAAATGATCGACAAGGGTTGGATCAAACCTAGCGAATTTGAATTTGGTGCGCCTGTTTTGTTTGTCCCTAAGAAAGGAGTCAAACTCCGTATGTGTATCGGTTATCGCGGTCTACACCTCATCACCCGAAAGAATGCATATCCATTGCCACCCATAGATGACTTGCTTTATGCTTGTCTATGGGTGCAAAGTTTTCTCCAAGATCGATCTCCAGTCTGGCTACCACCAGATTGAAGTCGATCCTGCAGACCAGCACAAGACTGCGTTCAAGACACGCGATGGGCTTTACAAATTTATCATAATGCCCTTCGGCCTCACGAATGCACCGGCCACCTTTCAAAGCCTCAAGGACAAGGTCCTCCGTGAACAAATTGGTCGGTTTGTGGTAGTGTATCTCAATGATATTCGGATCTTCATAAATCTATCGAGGAACACATGAAGCACCTTGAGGATGTATTCACCATCCTCAAGAAAACGCAACTTCATCTCGACTTAGAGAAATATGAGTTTGGGCGGGATAGCGCCATCTATCTTGGGCATCGATTGTCTGGTGCACGCCTCGAGCCTGAGACAACCAAGGTTGAGGTCATACGTAACTGGCCTCAACCCGCGAACATTCGTGAATTGCGTTTTTTCCTTGGTCTCGCGTCGTACTATCGAAAGTTTGTGCCTCGATTCTCTATTGTTGCTCGCCCGTTGTCCCGACTAACAAGTAAGAATGTGCCTTATGCACGGGATGCAACATGTGAGACCGCATTTCGAGCCTTGAAAGAGGTCTTGGTAAGTTACCCTGTACTCCGCATTGCAGATTCCAAACCAACATTCCTAGTCACTACGGATGCTAGCCAATATGGGATTGGCACAGTGTTGCAACAAGATGAAAGGGACGGTTTGCAGCCGCTCGAATACAACAGCAAACGCATGCCCAGCGAAAAGGTAGTTACTTCCACCTACATGCGCGAGCTCTATGCTTTGTATGGCTTTGGATGACTTGAAGCAATATCTTTTGGGACGTTATTTCAAAGTGTTCTCAGATCATGAGACCTTGAAGTGGATCAAGGAGCAAAACACCTTGTCCCCTACTTTACTGCGCTGGTTCAATTAGATTGAGATCTTTGACTTCGAGCTAAGACATAAAAAGGGTTGTTATAATGGAGTTGTTGATGCGTTGTCTCGCCACCCAGAGTACATGACTTGCCTTGTGAATTCCTACGACCTCCGGAAAAATTTGAAGGAGGAAATCGTAGAACACACTACCAAGGACCCGGACCTTAATCCCATCCTTGAGCAGTTGCAGGCTGACCCCAACAGTCAACCTGATTTTCACGAATTTGGAGGACTAGTAAAACAGTTTGATTGGCCTGGTATGAAGGGATCTGCTGAAAAGTTTGTGACTGAGTGTCAAGTCTGTCAACAAATCAAACCATGTAGACAAAAGCTCATAGAGCTACTCACACCCCTTCCCATTCCCAATGGACCCGAGGAGTCTGTCTCTATCAACTTCACCAACATGGGAAAGGTAAGTAAGAACGACTATTCGCAAGTTATGGTGATTGTTGACCGCTTCTCTAAATTTCTGAACTTGATTCCTTTGCCATCTCATGCCCCAACTGAACTGGTGATCCGTGAGTTCGAACAGAAGTACATTCTGCAGTTCGAAACCCCGCAAACTCTTGTGAGTGATTGGACCCACGCTTCACAAGTATCGAATGGAAGGACTTCACGTGATAAGTCCCTAGCCTCATATTTATGCATGACATCTGGCCGACATCCCGAAGCCAATGGTTTGGCTAAGGAATTCAACCAGACTGTGTTCCAACTTCTTCGCGCTTTAAGCATTCCGGATCAAGAGACGTGGGATGAAGAGTTTTATTCCGTCAAGGGGTTGTACAACAACTCCATTCATTCTTCCACCGACATAACGCCGAGCAGGCTGCATTACGGTCTCCTACTTGTTCCCTTAACAGCCACCTAGTTTAACACCCGACAGGCCTGGCTTCAGGGCCAAGTACGATCGCTTGCTCAAAGTTGCCATCACAGCAATGACTAAGCGACAGCACGCAATGATCCGTGACGAGCACAAGAAGCGTCGACCTTCGCATATCGAAGTAGGAAGTTATGTCTGGGTCAAGATGTTTGAATACTCAGAAGAAGAGGGAGTCTCACGCAAACTTCTTCCGCTCTACTATGGTCTGTGGGAAGTTCTGGATGTGATTGGGAAGGATGGTTGTGCCACCTCATTTGCGCACATACCCCGTCTTCATGCATCAAAATTGTTTATCCACCGTGATGCTAAATCCTTTGATTACCGTGAAGGCATGATTCCTCATGCAATCGACGGCGGTCATGAGATCGATAGAATCAAACCACGTAGGGAAGGGACGTAACAGACAGTACCAGGTTCACTTCATGTATCACCCATTGGACGATCTCTACTGGATTTCCAAGAAGTAACTGTTGCGCAGCGAACCAACAAATCGCCTCTAATGTTGTTAAATTTCTACAAAGCTCACTGCGATAGAGTACTCTCGGAATCTCTTTGCCTTATTTGCATACAATGTGTTTGTCAGGGACTCAGACTCAGTTACTCGCTCGAAGGGACCTCGCTCTTAAGGGGGGGGGTAATGTGATGACCCGACCAAACACGGACTCGGACACAGTTGATTTCTGAGTTTCGCTCATGGACTGAATGCCTCGTTGAGTTTCCCACTTGCTACTAAGTTATGCATGTCTGTGTGTGCGCACGCTTGCTGGTCTGCATGACTGTCTGAGTGCTGGTTGGCTCGAGTGTATGTGTGACCCGCAAGGGCACTTTTGGTTTGTTGGGCCCTCAGGGTCGGTACTTACCTGTGGTCGTGACATTGTCCGCAGCGGGGAAAACACTCAAGTGGGGGAAGAGGCCCGCAACACTCAAACCAGCGATGAAACACTCAAGTAGCAAGTAAGCCGGTACCACACCCTGAAGAGGTAGATGTGTCGAGTACTGGCCCGAGCAGAAGAAGACAAAAGTGGCATTTTGAGAGGCCCAGTAGTTGTAGGTTAGATCTAGGCGGATACCAGTCCAACCAGTCTGAGTCTAGGGTCTGTACGGGCAATATCAGAGTCTGCAATGATGTTTCCCTTCGAAAGGGAGGAGGTACCGATTGCTTGGAAGGCCAAGCGGCCTGGAAGTTACCGCCCAACAGGCAAGCAGGCCGCTATATCTATAGGCCGGGCGAAGAGCCCAGCCTCATTGTCGGTGTGCAAGTTTGGCGACACACTAGAGACCCCAGCTGGGGTAGAGCTACACCAAAAAGCGTTGAGGCAGAGTTAGGCATGGCGGCCTGAGCTGGAGTTGTCCTTTGGGCATCAGGGAAAGGCCCAGTAGTCTACTTTGGGTTGTCCTTTGGGCA